AGAGGTGCCTATAACAGTACTGTGAAGATGAATTTGAATAACTTGTCAGAGAACTCTTCAGATAGTTGTAGCCCTGGTGGACAGCTTCCATGCAATCTCTGGTGGAAGATAGAGCTAGAACAATCTCACCATCTCACTAAGTCATTCGCAAATTCTTGAGTCACAGAAACCATTAGATGAATACATATTTTGTTTTAAATTGATATTTGAAAAATTTTTTGTATTGTGATAAGTAGCTAATGAAAGAGAATACCAGTGGTAAGACAGCATGTCTCTACCTGAATTACAGGGAGAGGAGAAAAGCACTGAATTCCCACCCCCACTTTCTAAGCATAAGGGTTATAAAACCTTGCAGGAGCATGACAAATAATAGGGAATTTTTTCCTTTGATATACACATATGTACATGACTCTAACCTCTTACAAATGTCAGAAACTCCAAAGAATCATGGAAGCCTTGCTCCATGTGTATTTTGAGTAGAATATCAATTTTAACAACTTGCCCTACAATATCTCATTAAAACCAATGCCTGAAAAAGTCCAACACACCATTTGAACTAGTGAAGCCAGAAATATTGGGTCCTGGGGAATTTATAAAGCGTCAAGTACCTGTCTGCCAAACACAAGGTCCTCAGTTCAATTCCTGGTACCAAAATACATACATACGTTTATTACATACATACATACATACATACATACATACATAATCAACATCTCTGCAAAGGGAAGATGCCATAGGACTTTAAAGAAGCGTGCCAAATGATGTTTTAAATAGAAAGGACTTGGCAAAAGATTGGCACTTTAAGGTTTCTCAAATTTAAGTCTGCTTTTACTTATTTAAAAATTTTGACATGACTGATGGTGCAGTTCAGCAGTAAAGCTCTTGCTTAGCATGTGCTAACTTCTAAATTCCATCCCTAGCATGTGCTCACGCACACACACACACACACACACACACAAAATGTTAATGTGTCATATGATCATCAAGGAATAAATCTCCAAATTTGGATCCAGTTCCCTACTGTTAATCTCTTTTGAAAGGGTGTATGAAAGAGCAAATACAGAAATCATTCAGACTCTTCTCCTCATGAAGGTCTCCCTGTGGACACAGGAAACAGCAAACTCAATAAACTATACAGGTCCCCACTCTTATCCTAGGCAAGTATCTTGTGATAGCATAATGTACCATCTAACTCTTAAGTGTCAAGAAATGTGGCAGAACTAGAAAAAAGCTGTAATGTTGATTATGCATTACTTGTGTGGTTCATATTTATTTTTTGACATAACAATTGATTCACAAACCATTTGACTTATTTGCCCTGCCAAAACCAACGTGTAAGGAAAATGTTTGTGTGTGTTTTTGTGTGTATATATGAATGAAAGAGAAAACAAAAATAAAAAATTGAAAAAAAAATCAAACTCTCTAAGAAGGTCTTCAGAAAGAAACACACTGCTTCCCAGCCCACTACAGTAGATAACCTTACTCTATCATGTCTAGGTGAGATCTTCTCACAATTTCATTCTTGCATACAGCAAACACAACTAAAGGCCCAATGTGTGTTAAGTTGTGTTTTGATCCACCAAAAATGCTGAGCTTATGTAGAGTCATCCAGACCTCCAACTATGGCAACCTCATTCCTTGTCTCCTAATTTCAGAACTTAGCCAGACTTTTCATTCATCAAAATCCTGTTCTTGTGAATTCAAGAAACGTGGTGGTGCATTTCAATGTGAATAAAATGCAGTGTTGAAAAAGGCAGAATCTTTCCTGAAGCCTCAAGTTAAAAGAAAGAGTACCAGCTGAGGGATCACAGACAAAGGAGTTAGACTGGAGCTACCACGGACAGCAGCCATCAGCCAGGCTGCAGTCTGGCTGTCTGTGGGAGTCAAAAGTGCCTCCTGACCTAGCTGGCAGAGTTAGACAGGTTGGCCACTGACAGTGTTACAAAGGACTCCAAGCGTTTTGCAGAGAAACAAAACCCATTACACTTGAGGAGACTCCAAATCATTTTTGGCAGGGAAAGTTGTGGGAATTTATCTTCTTTGCATATGAATTTAGCTTTTATTTTTTCATTTTTGTTTATATTTAGCCTCTTAAATGACTTTTATTTTGTAGGCAAAGAATTTTTAAAATCCCAGTCACAGACTCTTTCTTGAAATTTTAACAAAAATAAATGGCTTCATTATTATTCCCTTTACAAACTGTTTGCAGATTTGATTGGCATGAAACTGAGCATTATTATTATTATTACTTTTATTAATAATTATTGCAGAACTGGGAATTGAATAGCACTTAGCTATTCTCAGTTCTTTTATGTTTTATTTATTTGTATTTTTAATTTTGAGACAGGGTATTGATAAGCCCTGTTGCCCTGGCTGGGTTAGAACTGGCAAACCTCCTGCCTCAGATCCCAAGAGTATGGAAACCACCACACCCAATGAAGTGAGCATCATTATCTAACTTTATTAAACTGATCTGTCTATAGTTACTAAGAACTCAGAAAATAATACATATGTGTATGTGATCAACAGACTTTAATTTTTTGCAACTTTTTCCTAAGCACAATGTTTATGTCAAGAATACACTAATAGGTTTTCTGCTGCCTAATATGGACATGAAGGTATTTCTGCAAATCTGACACCTTTCTCTGTACCTAAAATCTCTTTTTACTGACCAAAATTCCTCTTTCTACTCTTCCTGGTAACATCTAAACCCTTAGCTAGTTTCATATTATTTCCCTGAATCAGATCCTGTTCCAGAAACACCTCTAAGCTTCTGCAGTTTGATTTGTGCTCTGGCTCTGGCCTCTCTACTCTCTGCCAGCTTGCTGTCTGGGGAGTGAGACTGCCTTACTGCTGATGGTAGAATCACACTAAAGAGGCAATTAAAACAACTACTCACATCGTGTGCAAATATTCTCTCCCTCACTCTCTGATACTCCTCTTCTCTCTCTTCAATTGATTTACTTCGTTTGTCATCTCTAAATGGATGCATTCTGTTTTTCTGAACAGAAAAAAGAAATCAGGAGGGTTATCCAAGTTAAGCTGATAGAGATCTGCAGTTAAGCAACTGTCAACTAAGAATAATAAATGTTCATTTAAATAAATGGAGCACGATAATTCTTGCTCCCTCTAGTTCCTAAGGAGATTGTGTTGAATAAAGTGTATGCCGTGTGTGTGTGTGTGTGTGTGTGTGTGTGCACAGCACATAGTGATGGGAAACATTTATTGCTCTTGATTACTTTCTTGCTGCGTGTGATTAGCACAGGTGTTTTCAAAATGAGCATGCCTCAGCATGCCTGAGGGATTTAGCCAGTTCAGGTAAAACGTGGTTCACCAGGAATCCATTCTGTTTCCTTTGTTAACTCACTGCTTCTGGCCTAACAAAAAGAAAAGAAAAATAAAGGAAGGAAATAAAATGAAACAAAGGAGTGAAAAGATAAGAAGAAGTAGCCAGTTTAAGATGGTTTAGGGAAGAAATGGCTTGGAAAAAGCAGGGAACAGAGAAAGAGCGAGTGAGTAAAGAAAGTGGGTTATAGAAAGGGAGATACGGATATTATATCTTTATCTCCTTTCTTGTTTTTTATTCATTCAGTGACTGATTCTGTGAATTGTGCCTGGAATCTAAAGCAGGGCCTGACACTTATAAACTAAAGCTTAAACATTTGTTAGTGGATATGGTTCAATATCAAGTAAAATAAAGAATCAATTCAAAGAACCCAGCATGAGGACTGCTGTTCTTTATCCTCTCCTCTGAATGACTTTGTGCTTCTCAGCTGTCCTGCCTTAGTCTTTTTGCATTCCTGAGACCATGCCTGTACTATCCACATTCATTCATCCATTCAAAAGACACCCACCCAGTACACAACACAGGCAAATGTCTCAGATTCAACATGAGCCACTGTGTAGCTCAATGGTGGTGGGAGGAAATGAGATACAAATGATGAACAAGTTGGAAAAAAAAGTGCGTCAGAGATGCATGTACTGGGTTATGATGACTCATTATTAAAATGATAACTTGAGTGAGATGCATATTGTCTTACCTTTAAAAATTCTAAAGCCATGTCATTTTTTAAAAAAAATTTGATTGTCAGCAATACAGTACAATTGCAATGGTATTTATATGACTTTCTACTGTAAGTATTATTTAAAATTATTTTCTTGATGATTACTTATTTTTCTTCCTGAAATTCCACACACCCCCAATCTAGAGATGAGATTTTGTAAAGTTTTTTTACCCTCATCCAGGTACCACAATTGAAGCTACTCTAGAACAACACAGTGGTTTGTCACAAGCAAAATACACAAGGAAAAAGTTCTGCTGCATTTCATGCAAAATGAGCAGACAATTTACATGGACCATAAAACATGGGAAGGAAAAGGGGACGGAGACTAGAACATGAACTCAATTCTTTTCTGATGAAGTCTTATTTTAGGATAGTTGCAAAATCCACCTGTCCTCACCATAACAAGGTTTGTTCTTTACAGCTACATCGGTTGATCATCGGTCCGTATTGATAATCCAGCTCAATTTGTGCACAACTGAAGGACAAAGCTGTAGGGAGTGGAACGACTGCCATAGTTACACAGACATCTGGAAATGCGACTGACAAAGCTTTCCCCACAGCCTGGAGCCTGTGGCATCCCGACCCCCCAGGACATGCAGCAGGATCTGCGGCCAAGCACCACCCATGCAGCCCAACACAGAGCCATTGCTAAAGCAACCAGGACATGTTTTGGCTGCCCATTGAATGCCAAAGGAGGAGGAGGGTAAAGGAAGGAGGCTGGAGAGAGGAGGGTATGTCAGAAGCAGGGGAAAGTCAGGAGGGAAGAAGGGCAACAGAGGAACAGAGGGATGACAAGAACATCAGTCAGCCCACCTTCAAAAACAACAATGTCAGCCACTCTCAAACTTGAGAACCAACCTGATTGTCTTCTTTATCAATACTAGAGTTATCTCGCTTCAAGATAAACCGCTTCTGGGATTCTTCACCTTTTTCATCTTTTAAATGTTCACAAAACCTTTGCTCTGGTCTGCCAGCAAAGTAAAACATATCAATAAAAAATTTTTTTCCCTTTAAAGTTATTTTTTAGTGCTGATTTTCCCCCATAGTGGCATTTAATTTTCTTTTAAAAGTTTACATGTGATTCTGATATTAGAGTTGCTGGCAATATACAAGTAGGTAACAATATGTAATTCCACATATGTCATTAGAATACCTTTTGCTGTATTGAATTCAGAGTCTGGTTTACTGCATGCTGGTCGCCATGCTGAAGTTAAGAAAAATTTTAAAAGCCCACACATGTATATTGTATTGATATTTTCTGTACTTATTTAGCTCTCCATCATTCCTGAATTCAAACAAATTCCCACTCATTTTTTAAAGCAAATTTAGAACTTGAGAGTACATTGATCTGCCAGGACCTTGAAACCTAAAACATTTCCCTCCCATTACCTCAGGAGTCTTAAAAATCCACAGGAAAAATCATTTCCGAAGTTATCTCTTTCTTTTCTGCAGTGATAAATGCTCCCAAACCTGGGTCCACTGGACTCTAATATTCTTGACCATGTCCTATAAATCAGTTCAGTGACCAGGAAAACTGAAAATGTTTAACTTAGACAATTTAATGGTTGATTTGTATGGGAGAAACGTTCAAATCAGTTACATGTTATTGATTAGCCCATTGACTTTTTGGGCATTCTTTTCAAATCTGAGATTATTAAAGGAAAAGTATGTGTTCCTACATTAATTTCTTGTGACTGTCACTTCATGTACTAGAACTCAGTGAATGTCTTGGGCTGGGCTCAACTGCAGAAGAAGTGCTAAAACAATTGTCCCTAGTTTGGAAATAGTTACAATTTATGACTCTCATTAAAATGCCTCTTTCACATCTGATGATGTACTACTTCCAAAGTACAGGAGTGTCCTGTACCTGGAGGATTCGTTTTGGCTTTCATCATGGGAAGCAACTTTACGGTGTCTAAAGTTTAAGGTGGATGATCAGTAATTAAAAGAAAATTTCATCTTTTACATACCTCTTCAAAATAATCAAACACTTGGGGACATAAAGGAGTAGCTTAAGCTTAGTATTCAAAAGCTGATATGAAGCATTCTTTCCTTAAAACCTGTAGATAAGTTATAAAATATTGATGGGCAGAGAGCAGTAGAAATTGTAATAATAACAAATACAGTTTCTGAAACTGCATTTTTTGTGAAGTGATGCTCTCTGATTTATCTTTAAATTTAATATAATTTTGTTGCAGCAGAGGTCAATACTTTTTGCCTCCTTTTAAAGAGAAGGATGCTATCTCTCAGTAATGTTTTTGACTTCCACTTTATAGATTTGCTCACTAAAATGTAGCCCTCGAACAGCTTTGGCCCGGGCTCACTCTGATCGGGTGCCGCCCTCTCTGATCACACTGAAACACTTTGGGCTGGTCAACCTGAAACTTCAATTAAAAGCATAGTGATCTTACATAACATCATGTTGGTGACTAATGTAAACAATTTGCACTAAAATTAATACATAATAAAATATGACAAGCAGTCTGGAAGTGGGAATATGACATCTAAAATCAAAACCTCAGTAATGAGTGAACACGTGCTTCCCAGTGAAGCAGTCATGCAAACTGCTTTGATAAATGAAACATAGTTTGGTATAGAATAGTCACAGTATGCTTAAATTAGTTGTTTCAATTTTAAAGTCTCATAATAGTATCATGCATGGTGTACATACCATAAATAATAGAAATCCTCCAGAATTTATTTTTACTATCACTTATATATCATCCTATCATTTGTTTTTCATAGCAAGTGAATTTGGAATTACTTAAATAAAAATATAGATTGCATAAATGTTCATTAGTTTTCTTGTAATATCCCCAGTCTCCCAGTCTCTGTAGTCTAGAATGCTCCAATATATAGAATTATTTCCTTAAATTCACAGAAACAAGTTTTTATTTGTTTCTAACAGTTGTAATCATCCATGTAGAAATAAACGATCTGAGGATGTCAGCCTTTCCATTCTTAGCATAAGTAAATCTGTGTTAGACCAAATGCTTCTTTAAAGTATTAGAATGATATTTCAGGATACTAACAGAAACGAGAAGGCAAAATCTACATAGGCAAACCTTTTAAAAAATACTTAGTCCTAGTCAGATATGGTGATGCGTGCCTGTAATCCCAGCACTCAGAAGGCTGAGGAAGAGGATCACCATGTAATTGAGAACAGCCTGGACTATATAAGCAAGTTTCAAGCCAGTCTGTGCTATACAGTGAGCCTTCAGCTCAAATAAATAAATACACTTAAAAATACTTAATCCTTAGTGCCTAGATCCATGCCTCATCAGCTGAATGAATAAATTAATCAATGTATGAGTTAATGAAAATTTGGCAAGAGGTCCACAAATAGCTATAATTCATAATCAGACCCATAAAGTTGCTTAATAAAGTATGAAATCAAATACTTTGTGACTATAAAACAGAATGAGAAGATCTAATAATTAGATCTAATCTAATGAGAAGATCTTAATACGAATATAAATGCAGGCTGAGACAGCCTGTGTGGTTGTGCGTGCCTGTCATCCCAGCTCGGAAGACTGAGGCAGGAGCCTCACTTGTGAGTCTGGGGCCAGCCTGGGCTGCACAGGGAAAATTTGCCTCAAAAAACAAAATTAGAACATCAAGAAAATCTTTAGAAATTGTGTTTGAGTTTCATGCTAAGGCTATCTAAAGAAAAGAAATAGGTGAAAAAGAAAATTTTAGCTTTCCTAGTTTGAGAAAATCTGTTTAAAACATCAGCTATCTAAATATTATTTTTGTAATTTAATTTTAATTTCTTTACAATGTCGTTTATTTATTTTTCATAATTGGATATATTCAGGAAATATAGAAAAAGCGACAAAAGATTTGATCAATAATGTGAAATATGTAGACCATGGTATTTCTTTTTCTGCTATAAATAAATCATGCAAATTCCTGTCTCAGTAACTACTTTTCTTTTTTTTTTTTTTAAGAGCATACTATATTTATTGAGAGAAAGAAAGCTTCTGTATGAAAAAGAGACAGAAGGGTCCCAAGTAGGTTGCCCTCAATAACTTCTTTTCAAATCTCTTGTTAATCTTTTTCCAAAATTATGATGCAATATTTCAAATTAATAGCCTTTTATTTTTATTTGAAAAATATTTTGAGTAATCATGAAATAACCATTAGCAGATGGCTTAGAAAGAATTGAGATGAACTAATAAGATTTCTCTGGGTTGGTATTATAGAGAACTATTTATGACTCTAGTACTGAAGGGCAGTTTTCAGTTTAAATTCATGCAAACTAAGACACACAAGTGTACAATGACTATGCTGAAAATCACCTGTAATGTAGTATAGCTTTTAAAGATCCCTTCTCCAACTAATTTAACATCATAGCAACATTTTCTAAGCTATAAAATGAAAGTAAAATAATGTGTTACATGTCTACATATACAATGATAATGAATTACTTTTAATTTATTAATATGAGAATGTAACTCCAAGAACAAAATCTCAAAGCTACCAAAGTCATGGTATTGACTAAATTGGTTATGACTAGACTTTACTACACATCTCATGGCTGGGAGTCACACATTGCTTAAGTTTTCACTTCTGTTAGATTTTGCTGTGCGAGCATTACTTCTACCTGTCTCTTGATTATCATCAAAGAGCATGGAAAATAATAATTAGGCCTTATTTTATGTGGAAAACAATTTCCTTTTCCCATAAAAAAATTAAGCTATTCTACAACTCATAGCACATATCTATTGTGAAACTCATTGAAGGTGTGTCCTGAAGAGCATTGGTACATCCCATCAGGTCCTTGGCACCCTCAAACTGAAAAGTTAGAATCAAGGCATCATTGTTTCTTAATTAGATTTTGCTCAGGGATGGAGAAGCTGTGTAGCTAGTGAATAAAATTAAGTGATATTTTTGAGGAAATCAATTGCAATTTCAGTTACATTTTCCCCCTGAAAACTGAAAATACATAAACATTTATTATTATTATTACTTTGATTCAATTTTTAAGTATTAATACAAAAGAAATAGCAATTAGTGGATACAGAGATCTACTGTTCTAAACAACACAGTAAGAATCTGTATTGCACTGGATTAGTAACTGAAGGTATGTAAGATGTAATATGTAGTTTTTAAAAGTGATAGGATACTAACCAGTACATAAAACATTTTTAAAAATCATGGACGTAGCTTGACCATATTTATGTCAAAATTCATAACATATAATTAGAAGGATAATAGTAACAGTAGGCATCTTTGAATGGTAAAGTAACAGGTAATTTTATCTCTAATTCTTTGTATTTTGTGATTATTATGTCTTACTATACAACAGCAGAAAATGAAAACTCTTAGCTCAAAAAGATAAGAAATCAATTCAACAACTTAATAGTGATTTATAACCAATGATTGGATTATTTAGACTTAAAATGCAATTACATTTTGAATACTGACAAAATATTCTTCCATTGCATGTGTTATTTTGTAATCAGCCAAAATGGATATTGAGATGTTTTGCTTTTTAAATCAATTCTTACTGCTATTTAAAAAAAGGCCAGACTTAATTTTGTTTCCTGTTTCTAGTCTTGGCCTATCATTTTAAGATCTTTTAGTACAGCCAAATCATTCCTTTCTGGAAATAATAACAAAATGATAACATTCAACTTGATTTTTTTATTTCAAATGATCAAGTAGTAATGATATAGAAAAATATTTTTTTAAGAAAAGATAAGTGCAAAATTTGAAAAAAGAAACTTGTTAAGATAATTTCATATGCTCAGGATGTGACCTTGGTTATTCAAGAAGCATATTGAATATAGTGTTGCAATATCAAAATGTATACACATAATAGATCTATTTAGCTTAACAAAACAGGCATATTTCTTCAACTGTGCATATAAATTGGTTATTTCTATGAAGAAACACTACTGTCAACAGCACAAAGCTGTATCAAAGAGAGACAACTCTTCAAAATTGTCTGTATATGATCTTACAAGAAATACCTATGAAATAATGTACAAATCCACTCTCAAGTACACATCCAACATTAAATACTTCTCTCAGTTCTTGAAATTTTTAAACATTTCAAGTTTTATCTCATAAATGTCAAACAATCTTTAAAAATGACTGCTATTTGAGGTATATTGAATTATAGGATTTAGTCAATGATTAAGATTTAGGACTACCTTAGGAAAATACTACATTCCTTGTATTTTAAAAACCCCAATGGCATTTTCTAAGAAAACTCATAAATAAATAATCTAGTCTTTTTCTTCAATGTGATATTTGATTCAACATGGTTAAGAATACACCCGTCTCCTGATGGTACTTGGACAGAAGGCACAGCTCTTGACATGCTGCATTCACTTCGTTCCACATCCAATACTCAATTAATAATGTATGGCTGCATCTTTATTAAAGCATATTAATTTCTTTTTTCTTTTTTAAGTTTTATTTTAAAGAGGGTAAAACTAAACAACACAACAACAAAGCAGATCAGAAGAAAACAATGTAGAGACACAGCTTTTAAAGCAAGGCAACAGGAGATCTTCACTGTCTATCATATTGTCTCTTGTTTCCTTCTAAATAGTTATTCATATCTTCACACACAATGAATTCATACAAACCAAAGTAGTATTAAACTGATCAAACAGGATAATTAAGGCATTTTAGGCCTTCAAAACCAGACAATAGGGAAATCAACAATGGCAGCCATAATGTCTCTCATTCTCTTCAAAATAGCTGTCCATATCTTCATGTATGCTGAAATTAAACAAAACAGACTAAAACCACCTTGAACAAAGAACAATACTATTACTGGATTTCACAGAATGGCACTATGAAATCAGTACTGCGTCTCCTTTTCTTCAAAGTAGCTGTTCACTTCATCATCCATTATATAATCAATTCTCAGAAACTGTTTCGGAAAAGTTCTACACATGTATGGGTCTCTACATGCATACCTATCCTTTTTGTATTAGAAGGAAAAACAAAACAAAACACATCCCTAGAAAAACACAAAACAAAAAAGACAAATGCATATTAATTTCTTACACATTTTCTGATTTCAAGATTTTCCCATGATTTAAAAAGTGACTAAACCATCAGTTTACTTTTCTTTAAATTATCTGTCATTTAACTTCAATATTATATAAAAATTAAAAAGAAGCCATACTAATATATCCAATGACTCAAAGTTTCATCCCCTACAAAAATTTGTTTTAGCGCAAAAACCAATAACTCTCTACAAAATAAACGTGAACTAGAATCCTATAACATAAGCATAGCTTTAATATTAAAATTATTTTTAAAGTACAGATAGAACACTGAGAAACAAACTTAAGAAAACTTTTATCTTTTTGTCTCTGTACCTTTTTAATGCGTGACTTTTTAAAATTCATGGAATTTCTCTAAAGTTGTTTATTTGCTTTGTTGCATAAAATTGAAAGTCAGAATATTTACCTAAAATATTTGAAGACTAAGTATGAAGTGTAATAAAAATGTGATGAATATTCAAGTTTTTAAAGATTCATGAGAATAAAAGACACACTGCCATTGATCACCCTCAAAAAACTTCCCTGTATCTTTAGCACATACACAGCCGATCATTCTTGCCACTTTCTAAGCAGTTCTAGAAGTCACCTTTCATCAGTCTCTTTGGGTAGTGCTGCTCTAGCTGCCTTGATGTCCTGAATCAATTCCAAATGTTTATCAGTCATGGTTGTTTGGCTTTGGAGGTGAGCCAGAAGCTGTCCAACGCCAGGTTCAGTGGATAAGGTTGGTGAGGACACACTGTCGTGTTTTTATGGGCTGTCTTTCCGTTGGATGGCGTCTGCATTAACAATCACTGAATTTTTTATTATACCATTTAAAAATACTCAAGAAACAGAACATGCAGAACTGCTCCAGAGAGTGAAGAACAATGGGATGAGTGTGTGCAAAGCGACAGTGAGTATTCTGAGGAACATTAATGGCAGTGTGTCTTCTGCAGTAATTGAAAAACTTAAAACATTCTCTGTACATTTTGATCACTCATTGTATATATAAGATAATACAAAAATATTATCAAGCCCATGGCCACTTGCTAGTAGAGAACTCAATAAATATTAGAAAGATTTTAAAATTTTAAGAACTATTATTACACTCTTCAGATTCTCCAAGTCAGTAAAATCTAAAAGCACTTCAGTAAATACTGAACCAATATAAATATTGAGCCAACATTTTCAGTAGTGTCAATACTATTTTAACTACATATTATTTTTTATTTAGAGAAAAAAGCAAAACAGAAAAAAGGTTAGAAATAATACAAAATTTCAAAACATGACAGTAAGAAATCACTAGTTGATAAATTACATAGTTATCCTAGAAGTAGTTGTTTGTTACAACAATCAAAGTATAAAAAGTGGAAAGACTATCAAACATTGATAACAAAAACTATTCTGTTTGATAAATTAACAAAAACTTGGTAGTATGGTTATCATTATTATAATATTCAAATAACCATTTGATTCATGTATTTCCAAATAAAGGAGACAAAATTTATTGCAGCAATGTTGCCTTTGCAAACAGTTAAAAACATTTGTTGTTTCTTAGAGTGAAAATACTTTTATTTATGTGTTGTAATGTTGGTGTACAGAAAACGTTTCCACTGATACCTACATGCATATATAGTACATCATTCCTAAATAGGTCCAGAATTGTCAGCGCAGTTGTTGGCATAGAATTATCAATACTTTTGTATATACACAGGGAAATACTGAGTTTTTCCCCCTCATTTCAAGGTTGAAGAGTGGTAAGGAGAGATTAACAAATTGGGAGACAAACGTTGCTGGGAATACTGGGACTCTGGAAGAACTGAAAAATGGAATGGGTCAGGCTACGGAACAAAATATAGTAGGTAAATGTTTCTGTTTCTGTCTCCATCTCTGTCTCTCTTCTTTAGTACTGAGAATAAAATTGAATACAGGGCACTTTTTAACTGAGTTCTATTACTAGCTGTTTTAAGTATTGATGTAGATTTTGGCTGAACCTAAATTGTTCAGGGTAGGCAGCAGCCTTTCAGACTGCTGAGATTACAGTTTCTGTTACCATGTCTGGTAAATGCTCATTTCTTTTGGGAAGATATGAGCGAAGTATGGTGACATATGATTGTAAAATCCATCAAACCTAACTGTATTCTCATGTTCAAACATTCACAAAAACTTCTCAAGGTGTGAAGTTCTATACTGACTGTCAGGTGAATCTAAGGCAAGGAGGGGAACCCACAGATACTGGACCTGTTTCTGATGCCTAGAAAACAAAGTTGCAGATTAATAAAACCAATGTAAAACAATTTTTCTCCCTCAAGAGCAATTACATTTTTAGGGCAATGCTGTATAGGGGGTGTATATACATGGTGAACTTTTTCCCAACTGTTCTAAACTGTATGATATATATGATTCACTTTCACATTTTCACACATGGGCTTGTATTACGTATTGCATATGTATACACATGAAGGCATACAGACAATAAAAATTATCTTCTCAAACAATGAACTTCTGAAGATGGTTATATTTTCTAAATTATATTTTGGTGTCAAAGTACCCCCAGTACACTCAGACTGAACAATTGAGGAAATTTTTATTTTTTTTTTTCTGAAATAGTTGGACAATATGGAATTGGGTTTGTCTAACTTCTAAGCATGCCATTAAAATTTTTAATCTGCTGTTCTGGGTTTTGTGTCACTGGAGTTTTGTTATTATCATAATTTTGCCATCTACCATTGTTTAATTTGGTTCTCTGTATAATTTTAAAAATGATCAAATGCATGTTAGGATTTTATAAGTGAAACAATGAGTAAGAGTGAAAGAAAAATGTCTCTTTCCTTTTTAGCACTATTTAAGACTATTGATTTATTTATATTAGTTGTTTCTCCAACTGAAGGAAAAGCTGTGTGATCAAGTAGCAAGAAGCAGAGTCTCTTGATATTGGTCATTTGTCACTTGACTAGTTTAAATCAAGACTTGAATCTGTTTTATCTCCTATAAAGTAATCTAGTTTTTACTACCCAGAATGTAGAATTTTGTCAACAAAATAAGTTAACAAGTCAACAACTAAATACTGATTTTTTTTTTTTATTGGTATCAGGGATCGAACTCACAACTGTGTGCTTGCAAGGCAGGCGCTTATGCCGCTCAGCTAAATCCCCAGGCCCCTGAATACAGATTTTTAAATGTACCATTACTGAGTAGGAAATCTTTTTTTTAATGATAATATTAAGGACGTTATGTTATAAACAGTATATGCATATTTTATTTTCAAAACTAAATAGTAAATTGCATATTCATACCCAAAGGCCAGAAATAATTTCAGCTAGGGAAAGATATAAGACAAACTTATTTTATTCCCTCACAGAATATTTCTGGGATTTACTTCTCTCAACTACAGATTCTTTTATTCTCTGAAGTACAAGAGAAACACAATAAGGAAGAAATAGAGTATCTGAGGGACACGATACAGAGTTTGACTAATGTTAACAAATGTCTCACTTTTTGTCTGAATATTGAAGAACTAGAACACAAAAACTAATAAATATTTGAGATGATGTATATATTAATTAGGTTCTTTTAATTACTCTGACTTAATTATTAAGTAACGTAAACATGTATCAAACCATCACATTTTGCCATTTACATGTTTAAACTTGTTATGTGTTATATAAAAAAGGAACTATGTGTCTATTCATTTAAAAATTTCATGCTTTTCCTGAGAAAAGTGTGATTCTTGGGTTTCTGATCTTTGGTGTCTAGTTCAATTCTAATTCCTATGAAAAGCGCACAATAAATTTACCATGTTTAGAAATGATAGGATGCCAACAACCACTTATAGATTTCTAAGAGACACTTAGATAAATTGATGCTTGTTGCTCTTCAAAGAATTATTAAGTGAACATCAGTGTCAGGGTGCGGCTCAGTTTGTGTACAATGACATTCATGTTCCTAGTAAAGGAAAAGAATTACAAGAATATGGTCAGGATGCTTTTTTGTTTTCATTTTGTTTAATTTTAGTAACAAGTAAAATGCCTCACTGTCAAAACAATGCTTCCTACTTTAGACCTGTGTCTCTTAGGAGACTAAACAGAGCAGGTATTCCTTCGCTTTAGCATGTTACAGACCAGTGCTGCCTTTGTCCACTCACTGAGAAAGTGGAATGTCCAGGATTCTGCCCTTTAGAGCAGTAATTATCTATCACGTTCGGGATTCCTGACAAAATCGATTTATCTCATTTACTTTACCTATAGAGAAGCTCTGGTTAGTGCTAGAATGAGCTTCATTATTCTTATAGTATTCTACGTCAGAAGCTCAGTTAATAAGCATTTCTGGAATAAACAAACTACCACCACCATGACACACCACTCATCCCTGCAGGAAAATATCCAGGTTCACACATCAGAGGAATAGCTGCATCCTTGAGTATATAAATTTTATAGTGTAGTCCCAGACCAGTGCATTTTGGCCATGATTTTTGCTTTCTTACTGAAGAGTTTGTAACTACTCATGTTCAATTGATTTGCTATATCTTTTTTTGCTCTGCACTCATAAGTGTGGGGGTAGAGGCTTGAGGCAATCCAAGTGGGTGGATGTGAAAGAAAAAAAGAAAAATATGTTTAAGAGATGACAGTCTTTTCAAATGAAAATTATCTAGGATAAGTGAAACAGTTGCTGTCATATTCATGAAGACATTCTGATATACATAGGCTCTCACTGTGGCTAATATTGGCT